CAGAGTCAAATTTGGGTCATAGTCTCAGAAGACAGTCTCCTAAATGCCATGATTCTGAATATTAAAATTCTGAAAGGCTAAAAATCTCAAAAGTATAATGCTTGAAAAGATCAAATTCCAAAAATATTGTTAAAAAATAAACGATTTCGTTAAGAGACATATTTATATTTTAAAGGAAAATTTATCTAAGAGACATAAAAAGCATGATAGAACACTTCATATACCACTCTATAAAATAAGATAGGCAATAATTTATATATTTTTGCAAGCATAAACAGGTATACTAATGAGAGTTACAAAGGTATAACAATTATAAGCAGTCTAGCAATATTCATAACCAGGTCAAAACACAAACTACATGAACACATATAACCATGATTCGTAGTTGTATTCACTCAACTTTATAACTTGTCCTCTGAAATATTATGATGACAAGCTAAATCTTTTGATGAGATTAATCAAAAAGTGAAATGAGTCACTGCCACTTGTACAGTGATCCAGATCTTAAATCTTGAGAAATGTTTTCTTTCACAAATGCAGATATACAAAAAAGACAGCTCTTCATTTAGAGGACGTTTCAAAGTTTTTATGTAATTACCCAAATGCTTATACACAAAGTCAATATTGTGATAATCACTTTCACAGAGTCAAATGCCAACAATGTTTAAAATGAATTAGAACTCTCTAAAAGTCTTTCCCCAGTTTATACCTCCAGCATCAGAAATGATGCAGTAAAAAAAAATAGCATAGCGAATTGTAAAAAACAACACAAACTGGGGAAAAAAAACTAAAATGAAAATCTAACATGAAAAAATATATTACAGGGATAGATTATGGGCAGTTGAATGGAGGTAGTCCATAAGAATTAACTAACATTCACAAACATTTACTATATGTGAATTAATTAATTAATTTGTGTGTGTGTTACTAGATATTAAATCCAGGGCCTCATACATACTAAGCAGGTGATCTACATGAGCTATATACCCAGGCATTTTTAAATTATTATTTTGAGACAGTCTCACTAAATTTTCCAGGTTGTTCCTGAATTTGCAATCCTTCCTCCTTAGCCTCCGGAATGGCTGGGATTATAGGCATGCATCACCATGTCCTGTCTTATATTGTTAAATCTTATGGCACTAGGAATAGCCCCTTTTGGTAGTGGAAGTTCCGTGGCTTTCCATTGAAAATTCATTCACTTGGTGTTTCCCCACATTGAGAATGGTTCTTCCCTGCCTAGGCCATTTATACTCATACACTAATCTCTGGAAATACCCTCACAGATATAACCCAAACTAATGACTTACGAGGTGCTAGGTATTCAAGCTGTCCCACATGATGTGGCTGTTGTGTCTATAACTGAAAAGACATTATCCCTTACCAGAATTCTTTCTACCACTTCTACCTCTTAAATGGCTCACTCCCTTTTTCCACTGGGAATGACAGGTTGGGGGACATGGGCATTCAGAGTTCATTCAACATTTAGGATTTTAATCTTTTGTGATTTTTCAACTTTAGATGTATTGATAATTTGGTATTATGATTGACATTTTCTAGTGCCAACTCATAAAATGTTCGCTTTCTCATGTAACAGGAGAAAAGTCTCTCTCTCTGTTTTGCTTTGAGTGTAATATTAAATATGAATTAGGTTTTTCAACTAGAAAAAATATATATATTAGCCCATCACTGTTCATTATACTTAGCAACCTAATCAAGGTAGTTAAATATTCTATCGTGTTCCTAGAGCCTGCCCATAATCAAGGGGACAGTATTATGTAAGTCCAGAATACCATGAGGTGGGAATCTTAGGGGCCATCTTGGAATTCTGCCTACCAAAACAATGCTGTCTTATTTGTAATATGATTGAAAATAGTGCTGCACCTATGGATACCTTTTAGGCCTTCTTCCCATGAACATTCAATAAACATTATTAGATCTTCCAAAAATATTGTTACTGCCATAGTCAATAATCAAAATAAATCTAGTGTATGAAGAGATAGAAGCAGAAAAACATGAAGAGAGGTGCAAAGTCACTCAGAGAATGCACTGGGGCAGAATCCAGTGTGCTGGGATGAGGTTTGATTCCCTAACTCTCTACTGTGGCACTGTTCCTATATTAAGTAAAGCCAGATGGCAACCTGATGCAAATGCATCATTTCTGAAGAAAACTGGCAAATAGTTTTTTTTTTTTTTTTTGCAAAGGGCAATTAATTCATTAAAACCAAATTGACTGTAAAGAAAGTTTCTATACTTTCTCAAATTAGAAAAATTTCAAAAATGAACTCTTTTGAAAATTGAAATGTCTTTTTCATAAAGAGAAAAAATCTGAAACCTAAATAATTAGACATCTGGCAAGAAAAATAATGCCAATATACCTCAAAATTTTTGCTTTTCTCTCTCTCTCCCCTCCACCTCTTTCCTCTATCCCTTCCTGATCCATCTTCCCCAACTTCCCTTTCAATTGCTATAATAATTGAAGGAAGTGCAGGGATAAAAATCATGTTCTCCAACTGAGCAATTAATTATGTCATCTAAATAGACCACTTCCATTTTCAAGTTCTCGAAAAAGAGGGGGGAAAAAAACTCCAATATTATTGCTATTCTCCCAATTTAAATTTCCAAACTTATGTTGCTATAATTTAAATTCCACACAATCTTCAAGTAGCAGTTTCATTCTGGAAGCCCATGAAAGAAGGAAGGATAACCACCAGCAGGATTCCTACTGTGTGCCCAACCCTGTACTGGGAGTTTTCACACTATCTCTTTAAATATCCAAAGTAATGTCCATACTTCACAGGTAATAAAACTAACATCCATAAAGAGTTGAATGACGTATCTGAGTCACACAGCTAATAAGAGGCACTACCTGCATGTGAGAGGCTTTTGACTAAAATATTTTTTCAACAAATGACTAAATTAACAAAGGAAAATATAGGTCTCACTGTGAAGGCCACAGAGCTTCACAGCACACTGCCAAAGGTTAACTTAAGATTCAAAAAGTGTTCATCCTTCAAATTCTGCAAGTCTAACTGGATAGTAAAAGGTTGATTCCTTCAGCTATGGTGAAGTTATTTGATAATAACCCTGAAAAATGTCAGTACAGAAAATCTCTGGCATTGTTTGACATGACATTCAACAGTTGTTGCTATGCTCCTAAAATCGATAATTTTGCAAATAAACAATTTAAAAAAATAGGCTACATTTCCACATATCTCATTTGCTTCTTTGTGATTCCATCAATTTGAGAAAATCTCTCGAAATCTCTCTGGTAAAGTTAGCCCAATGGTAAATAAAATGTATCTAAATACATATAAATTTTAATCTTCTTCAGAATTTGTCACTATAGAGAAATTCACTAGGCGATCCAATTTATTTTGATAAAATTAACACCATTCCTATTTTGGTTTCTGGAGTAAAATATTAAATGTGAATTAAGTTTTTCAACTAGGCAAAAGATATATATTAACTTGGTAGAATTTTTTTCTATAAATACAATAAAGTGCAATGAAATTCTAAAATCTAGATAGCTTAATAACATATCGATTATAGCTATAATAGAAATTCTACATGAGAACACCATACCAAAATAAACTTGATATAGATACATGCAACTCATTACAATCATACATTGATGTCAAACTTAAATAAGCCTGACTAAAGTGTATACTGCAATATTTTCAACTGAATTAACCATAATTCTTTCTTCCACACAACAACAAAAAAACCCAGTTGTTTATTTCATAATTTTTTCATGCTAAAGTGGAAGTAAAATGGACCAGTAAGTGTTAAATTGAAATTGAAAGGGTTTGTTTTATGAAATTACTTCTTGAAATTTTCTTTTATAAAGGACACAGTGGTATAATTTTTCCCCTAAGGATATTCGCAATTCTGTGATGAAGATAAAACAAGAAGTACAAAATAGTACTGTAGTGGAGGTTAAAAACAGTGTTATGAACTTCCTAGGGAAAAGACAGTCCCAACCTGTTGAAAAAACATTCCCTTCAACAAAAACTTTTGTGGACAAAACTGTACTCCCAACCTATAACATATCTTGAAATTCTAATCCCCAACACTTTTAGAATATGAATTGTATTTGGAGATAGAGCCTTTAATGAGGCAATTAGAGCTAAATTAAAATCACATAGGTGGGCCCTAATCCAGTAGACTAGTGTCCTTATGAGGTAAGACTCGGAGGATGTACATGCTGAGAAAAGACCATTTGAGAACACAGAGAAACAGATCAGCAGCAAGGCAAGGAGAGAGGCCTCAATAAAATGAAACACACCAATGCCTTAACCTTGGACTTACCTGCAGAGCTATAATAAAGTAAATTTCTATTGTTTAAGCCACCCATCTGCAGTATTTTGCTATGCCATGCCTAGTAAACTAATACATTCTTTATCACAGGAAAAAATTATTGGTCGGTTTAGTAGACTGAAAGATAATTAATCTTGAACCTCAGATTCTATTTCCCCCTGTAGAACTAATTAAAGCACTAAGTTTCTAGATTAGACACCACAAACATAAGACCTAAGGGGCTAGTTAATGACTAAACTGCCTACTGCAAGAAAATAAGGAGTGGTGGGGACTGTAGCAAACTAGGGAGTTCATGGTCAGAAGAAAGGTGCTGATGCTGCTCATTGTTAATACTTTACGTTATGAAAGAAAACATACCTCGCTGGATATGACTTAAAGGCTGCAAGTTGCAACTTTTGCCTGGAAGTGAGTTTCTTCAAATAAACCCTTTTATTAAATAATCTCTAAAGTTCCTTCCAATTCAACTTTCGAAAAATTTACAATAATAACCTTTTCTCTATTGGAAGCATTAACTAGGAGATAAAGTTAGCATTCCCAAGAAAATTTTTGCCTGGATTTATTAGTATTGCAAGCCATTTTGAAATCCACAGTTTAATCAAATTCTTTTCAGAAATTAATTAACACTGAATGATAGAAAAAATTAAAGGCTTTTCAACAATAATTTTTCATACTTGGGAGCATACCTGTGTTTCACATTTTCAGATGCATTTAGGCAATTATTATTATCCACACTTGACAAATGAGCAAATCTGGGTGCCCCACAGGTGCTTCAAACTTGAATGATTTGAAACCGAGTGGGTAGAAGGAGCTGGAAAGAGCATAGGCATTGGAGTCAGGTTGAATCTCTGCTCCGGTGGTTAGCAATATCACCTTGCAATACTAAACCTCATTATGCTTCAGTTTACCCAGTGTAAAATAAAGATGAACATTTATCAGAGGATTGTTGTGACTACTGTAAAGAAAACATAGAGCAACCTTATGCAGAGCTGGGGATACAGAGTGTGAGGATCAGCAGCAGCAGTGGTAGTAGTATTAAACAGGGCAATAACAGCAAAGACAGACCCATTGCATCCCCCGACATGCTCAAGACCCTTCAGTCTCTCTCTACACTGTTAAGAGGAAATAGAAACCTGTAGTATTTCCTCAGCCTGCTTCTGAGCCCATATTCCTTACATGCAGAAGTAGCAACGTCATGTGCGCAGGTCAAGCTACGCACAGAATATCTTATTGACCCCACTCTTCCCTCACATCTCTCCTCAATCCCCCATCAGTCTGCAAGGCAAGGAGAAAGGCTAAAACCTGTTTTGTTTCTCCATTTCAGCATCTCTGGAAACCCACCCCTCTTTTCCCCCTTACTGCTATTACCTCATTCCCTTTGCCAGGATGAATCCATGTTTCCAAGGTCTCTGCTCCATATTTTCTCTCTCTTCCCCTCTCACCTCACTCCTTATTCTTTCCAACCCCTATTTATGCCCTGTTTTTCTGGCCACAATAAGCCAACAAACAAGTAAAATGTTGATTATATGATTCTCATACTTAATCTTTGCTAGTAGCGTAATTTTGTCCTCATACTTTTAATGAAGTTCCACACTCCTTTGACATAGCTATGTATTTTAGTGGGAAACTGAGATTTTAGTACTTAAAAATAAGTTCAAATCCAGCATTCCATTAACTAGTGGCATAAATGTTTTTCATTACTGTTATTCCAACTAGACTAACTTCTTTTGAACAGGGACCTTGCCATGTATGACATCTCCATGGTCATTTTCAGTGCCCAGGACAAAGAAAGGAGTTAAAGTGGATATGAAGGAATTAAGAATAGGATACCCCAAAATGTGTCACTCCAATGTAGTATTATTTTGAGGTAAAGATACGTAAAATAGCAGTGCAAGAGGATTACTCCAACCTTCATATTCTCTTTTAAAAGTAAAATTCTCTGGTGAAAAATATTCTCCCAATACCAGAAGAAAAGTATTCCTATCACCACATATGGAAAGTTGAGGCCAGGAACTTTGTTATTCTAATCTAGTTTTGGGCCACTTCATCCAGTTGACTACTTTAGCCTCAGCCCCTTTACACCATCACATATTCATAATTTACTATCTTTTGACCAATAGAGAACGGAAGGGTTTAATTTTGTATCTTCAGGTCTCCATTTCCTTATGAGAAATCTCTTGTCACATAAAAGTCTCATTAAATCTGTATGCATTTCTTCTGTTAATCTTTCTTATGTCAGTTTAATTCTCAGGCCTAGCCCCCGCCCCCCCCAACCACACACACACACAAAAAGAACCCTAAGAGGTTAAAGATAATATTTTTATCCCCCTAAAAATGAATGAGAAGCCAAGTTACTGCAAATCCACAAGTCTAGTAAAGTTGGAGGCAAAAAGTCCCCCAAGGTTTTCCCCAATTTGATGGGTTTTCCCCTCTGATAAACAGATTTGAGAAAATAAATTCTCCTAATTAAATGACTACATCTTTCAACTAAACAGAATAAAACTTCTAATGCTAGAACAATACTTTCCTTGATTGAAAAAAAAAGGACAGCATAGATTCTAGATTCTAAGATTAAGTAAGATTTTTTATGATTTAATTTTTGCATAAACATCCCAAATGCTATGGGTCACTTATTTATGCATCCATAAGTAGTAACTGGTCATTTTAATGTACCAACCAATATGATAGAAACAGGGGGTAGAGTTTGGGTTCCTGCTCTCAATTTTCTTATAGTCTAGGGGAAGCAAAAGTAAATAAATGATCATAAAAATAAATATTGACTTTGTAAAATTGAAAAATGCTATGAAAAAAAATCAGATAAAGACCATAAAAGAGGACACATCTACTTTAAACTTTAGGCAGTGATTTCAGGAAAAACTTTTCTGGAAATTAGTAAACAATTTATAACATGAAGAAGAGGATTTGGTTTTGCATCTTTAGAATATAAATCCAAATTGTACAAATGCAATGAAGAGATTAATTTTTATTTTGAAACTGCTTTCATATTTTTAATAATATCAGTGTAATCCATAATGTTTTCTGGACTCAGATCCTGTGGAAGACTGGGATGACTCATATCTTCTGTACTGTGCAGATAAATCTAATACACAACTGCTAGGGGATCAGTCCATAAATGGTGTTTTCTGAACATTTAAGAAAGGGTTAAAGGTAATGAGACAAGATAAGTATGTATGATTTAGACCACACCATGCCAGTCACTTAAATTAAGAGGTTAGTATGCTCATTAACCAATCTGAAGAACCATTAGCACCAGAAAATAAAAGACAGTGAAAATAAGTATCAAGGAACAACATATTACAATTAAATTAATGGAGTTTAGGGAGGATCCATGAAAGTTCCCGCAGCTTCTGCCGTTTCTTTATAATGTCATGGTTCTAATTTACCTCATTTATATTAATGAATGGAGGATTGCGGAACTATTAGCATGATTGAAAATTACACTAATGCTCAGTAAATCTACCCCTAATTATTATGATTAATGAGAAGTTGATCATCTTGGACCAGATTAACAACCTAAAGCAACTGAAATAGAGCAAAAGAGCTTTTTCTTGCTAACCCAGGTCTTTACTCTTTTTTATTTAATGAAACCCTGAGCAATCTACTCAGTAATGTTATATACTAATTCACTGTAACCATCCATTTACATAGATTATATTTTCACATTTATGTATTTATTTGAAATAATTACTTCCAAGTGCATTAAAATGTGGTCTTCTGATTGGCTTTATGCAGTGTTAATGTTCCAGTACGAAATTGAATAATAAAACCAACCATATTTTTTCTCTACCTGGTTCTAAGTCATCCGTTTGAGTGTTATCTTCTCCAGGGAGAGAAATTAAATCTTTGTACTCAGCACAGTCAACTATTAGGAGATACATGTCTCACCTATTTATTTATTTAAATATTGCTACTTTTCAAAAAGAGTGTGAAGTGATAAATGGTAGAAAAATTAAAATATATTTTAATCATCTCAATATCTGACTTCATTTTCTTCATCTAACACATGTGAGCTGTTTTTCTTAGCCTCAATTTCAATTATGAACTTTTCCTTAATTCTGACTGCAGTATGCTAGCAATGCCGTATGTTTTGGTCTAGTTTATTTTCTACCTTCTGCTACTGATAGGTGTCCATGAAAACAAACCTATACTCAGTGCTACTCTCGGTGAGTGCAGTGGCCTAAGATGTGTACTTTGACAGCACAAGCACAAAGCCGTCAAGGCTATTTCTCTGGGCTCCATAACAGGCTTTTAATGAAGTAGAATTTCACATTATAATGGCCTTCATGTCCCATCTCAAATCTGTACTTATTTTACTTATTATCAAGACTTTCTTGCTCTGTTATGGGATCTTTGCTATAAGAAATGTAAATAACACAAATGTAATTTCTCCAGGCTTGACCATAGTATAAAAGTTAATAAATTAATTCACAAAAATATTTATTGAGAGATTTCTCTGTGCCAGGCCTTGTGCTGAGATGGGGTTTAAAAAGTGCATAAGAAAAAAATATGCACATACTCATGGAGATTCCAGTTTAGTTGAGGACACAGAAATGGGAAATGTTGAAAGAATTTTATAAAAGTGAAAGAAGAATAACATATAATGGTACAAATAATGGCGAAAGCAAGATTATTGGGGAGATCAGTAAACACCTCCATGAGACAATGAAATTTTAAAAGAGATTCTGAGGGATAGGATAGTTGCTAGAAGTTTTTCCTGGCAGGAAAAACCAGGACTTTGGGAAATAAAATGTTGACTCTCACTGAATATAAAATAAAAAATACCAATAATAAAATAGAAATTGCGCTTAGGGTCCTACAGAATGTTAGGGTCTGAACCTTACCAGACTGAGGTTTTAGAACCTTGGGAAATTATTTAATCTCTGGATTTTAGTGCATAAAAATGGAGATTATATGTGCTATGTATAATGGCTGTGAGGATTATGTTAGATTCTATCAATGTGTCCTTGGCACGAAGTGAGTCCTCAAAGAACAGTAATATTCTTTTCTTATTAAAAAGTAATGTGAGGAGTAAAAATTTGTTCCCATGATGTAGGCTCCCTATTTACCTCTCTTATTGTTTCTCTTGCTGAGAAAAAAACTTTTTAGTTTAAGTAAGTCCCATTTGTTGATTCTTGTCATTAACTCTTGTGCTATGGGTGTCCTATTAAGGAATTTGGAGCCGGACCCCACAATATGTAGATCAGAGCCAACTTTTTCTTCTATCAGACGCCGTGTCTCTGATTTGATATCAAGCTCCTTGATCCATTTTGAGTTAACTTTTGTGCATGGCGAGAGGAGGGGATTCAGTTTCATTTTGTTGCATATGGATTTCCAGTTTTCCCAGCACCATTTGTTGAAGATGCTATCCTTCCTCCATTGCATGCTTTTAGCCCCTTTATCAAATATAAGATAGTTGTAACTTTGTGGATTAGTCTCTGTGTCCTCTATTCTGTACCGTTGGTCCACCCGCCTGTTTTGGTACCAGTACCATGCTGTTTTTGTTACTATTGCTCTGTAATATAGTTTGAAATCTGATATCGCCATACCACCTGATTCACACTTCCTGCTTAGAGTTGCTTTTGCTATTCTGGGTCTTTTATTTTTCCATATGAATTTCATGATTGCTTTATCTATTTCTACAAGAAATGCCGTTGGGATTCTGATTGGCATTGAATTAAACCTATAGAGAACTTTTGGTAATATCGTCATTTTGATGATGTTAGTTCTGCCTATCCATGGACAGGGTATATTTTTCCATCTTCTAAGATCTTCTTCTATTTCTCTCTTTAGGGTTCTGTAGTTTTCATTGTATAAATCTTTCACATCTCACTCCAGTAAGATTGGCAGCCATTATGAAGTCAAACAACAAGTGCTGGTGAGGATGTGGGGAAAAGGGTACACTTGTTCATTGCTGCTGGGACTGCAAATTGGTGCGGCCAATTTGGAAAGCAGTATGGAGATTACTTGGAAAGCTGGGAATGGAACCACTATTTGACCCAGCTATTCCCCTTCTTGGACTATTCCCTAAAGACCTTAAAAGAGCGTACTATAGTGATACTGCTACATCGATGTTCATAGCAGCTCAATTCACAATAGCTAGACTGTGGAACCAACCTAGATGCCCTTCAATAGATGAATGGATAAAAAAAATGTGGCATTTATACACAATGGAGTATTACTCAGCACTAAAAAATAACAAAATCATGGCATTTGCAGGGAAATGGATGGCAGTAGAGCAGATTATGCTAAGTGAAGCTAGCCAATCCCTAAAAAACAAATGCCAAATGTCTTCTTTGATATAAGGAGAGCAACTAAGAACAGAGCAGGGAGGAAGAGCATGAGAAGAAGATTAACATTAAACAGGGACGAGAGGTGGGAGGGAAAAGGAGAGAGAAGGGAAATTGCATGGAAATGGAAGGAGATCCTCATCGTTATACAAAATTACCTATAAGAGAAAATGAGGGGAAGGGGAAAAAAACAAGGGAGAGAAATGAATTACAGTAGATGGGGTAGAGAGAGAAGATGGGAGGGGAGGGGAGGGGAGGAGAGAGGGGATAGTAGAGGATAGGAAAGGCAGCAGAATACAACAGACACTTGTATGGCAGTATGTAAAAACGTGGATGTGTAACGGATGTGATTCTGCAATCTGTATTTGGGGTAAAAATGGGAGTTCATAACCCACTTGAATCTAATGTATGAAATATGATATGTCAAGAGGTTTGTAATGTTTTGAACAACCAATAAAAAAATTTAAAAAAAATTTAATGTGTCCATAAAGCCTCTTTTAGCAAATGCACAAAAAGAAATTTTGGGAACATTTCATGACAGTGCTTCAGATGTAGAAATAAAATGATTTCTAAAACTACTGAGGAAAATGGCTATGGAATCAATCAAATCTCTGTGAAGTCACTTTTCAGGGATGTATTAGGCATGTGTCCTTGAATAGGTTACTTTATCCTCTCTGAGCTTTGGTTTCTTCATATAAAAAATGACGATATAATGGAACCCAGGTCTTAGAGATTTACAATAAGATGACATACTGAAAGCTAAATTAATGCAGTGTTTCTGATAAATATTAAATATTCAACAAAGGTTAGCTGTTTATATTACTCTACTGTCAGTAATGGTTTTCAGAACAGCAGCAACAGGAATAACGAACCATCTCTGGTCACCCTTTTCAAGT